ATCCTGAGCGTATGTAGTATTCCTGGACCCTATTTTATTTTATTTTAAAGATTTATTTATTCACTTATGCATAAAAGAACTGGGGTGTAGACCCAAGGTGGGGGGGGGAGGTGAGAGGATTCACCAGAGACAGAGTGGGGAGCAGAACAGGTTCATCCACTGAAATACACTGCTGAGGGGAATAGTGGGGAGATAGGAGAGGTCTGCTGCGCCATGTGGGTTAGCTCCCTGGCCAACATCGAACTCAGGCCATAGCAGTGACAGCACTGAGACTTAGGCCACCAGGGGATCTGAGAAATCACCCCAATTCTGACAGTCTACCTAGAGATTGCATCAGATTCCACAGGTAAAGTACCCAGTCTCCCAAGACTAAGACCATCGTCCTCTCTAGATCATCCCAGGCTGACCTGTGCTTCTGACCAGCCAGCTGGAGTCCCAACCAGCCCCCCTCAGACTCCACTAATTTGCTAGGATGGTTCACAGACTCATCAAACCTGTTTGCTCACTATACCCCCAATGTATTACAAAGGACACAAATCAACAAAAGAAAAATAGGAAGCGGTCCCAAACAAAGGAGCTTCTCTCCTGTGGGACCTGGCATTCAGTAAGGTGGCATGTGCAAGAGCTCCAGGTCTCCAACCTGAAAGTCCCTCATTTTGGGGTTTTTATGGAGGCTTCATTATAGGTTGATTCGATCACTGGTGACTGGCAAATGAACTCAACCTCTAGCTCCTCTCCCTACCCAGGAAACCAGCTGAAGGCAATGAAAGTCCCTCCTTAGATTCATGTTGGTTTACCTGACAACCAGCCCCCAGACCAGGTGATTTTCAAAAGTCACCAATGTATCTGTGATTAAATGGTTAAAATGGTCTTAGACCCAAGGAGCACAAAGAGAGGGGGAAAAACATAATCTCAGCTTTTCTCTGAGACTTGCTCTAACAGATTCAGCAGAGTTTATCAAGAGGCTTATCAGGTAAACTTGAGTTAAGGTCCAAGGCCTGTTGGAGCTGGGAGACACAAAAGCGGGAACACGGGGTCTTCGCAGAGGCAAGGGCCCACCAACAGAAGTTTAAAACCCATTTTCTGAAGAAAAGCCTCTTCGTATTTCCTCCTGTATGGAATGTCCTCTACCTGGCCAGTGACTGCAGTCCAGCCCACACTTCCTTGGCCCTAACTTGCTTTTCAGACAATAAAATAAAATTTAACCCAATTAGTCCCCAACGTGATAAAATTGTTCTCAATCCTGACCCCGCTTTACAATCAATTTGCTAAAAAGTTGATTTCTCTTCTCAAAAACCTTAGGTCACGATCTGAGCCTACGCGCAGTGGACAGGGAAGCCCACTGCTCAGGAACACTACCAGAGACGGTCTCTCGGTGTCATGGGAAGTGACTCCGCGGGCACGTTAGGGACACTCAGGCAGCCTCGAGGACAGTGCAGGGACTTCAGGAGAGTTCCGGAAAGCTCCAGAATAAGAAGCACAAATTCCAAAGGGGACTCATCACACACCCCACGACTGAGGACATTAGGGACTCACTTTATGGCCTCAGGGTCAACAGGACGTTCCAAATAGAGACAAGGGCTGGGACCCAGAGGCTTAGTTCTGGGCACACAGACATTGAGGCAGTGATGAGACAGCCGAGAACTAACTGTCCACAAAGAGCCTGGTGGAGCTTTGGGATAATGAGGGGAAGGTCCGTGTTTCCTGAGACACGACTCCACTCCGGCTGCCTTGACCCTCCCTGGCCTGGTTCCACGGCCTGGGGTGCCACTTTATTTCTGTTCCTTTTCTCCTCAATAAACTTTTTCTTTCTCTGAACAAACCTGCCTCTTCTCGCTTGCTCACCAGAGCGTCTGCGAAGTTCCTGCTGCGGCTTCGTGAGACACCGGCCCGTGGTGGTCTAGTGGCCGGGGCTCCCGTTCCTGGCTGGGAGACTAGGCCCTAAAACCTGCAATTCCAGTATCAGCAGCACACAAGGTTAAACACCGAAGCCACAACCTCTGTAATATAAGCTTAGAGTAGAAAAATTGGGGCTGGACGTTTTCACAAGGGACGATTAACAAGTCGTTAAACCAGGCATGGAAGTTTCCAGGAATCCGAGGTGCAGTGAAAACGGATCACCTGTTACAAAAAACTAACCTAATCAGACCCCAAAGTGATAAAACTGCACCAAGGAATGAACCGTGTCCCCCTCAAACAACCCCCCCCAACAAAAAACACTACATAATAACATCACTTTCTCTGGCAAAACATGGATCTTGTCCTTTACGTCTGCCCGCCCGAGTCTACGCAGGTGGTCTCTTTCCTTTCTGTCTACCTCAATAAACTCTCTGCTGAACCTGGAACATCTGAAATTTCTCAGAGGGACCCAAAACCCCATTCACCAAATCCCAATACTCTAGCTCTGCCTATCACCAATTTTGGGGGTGAGCGCTGATAAATTATTTAGCTTCTCAGGATTTCAGTTTCCCTCATATTCTAAAATGAGCAGAACCACCCTGATCTTCTGAAGCTCACAGCTACATAAACGATCAGGCAACACAATCTATACAGCACCATTCCACTGTCCATAATCTTCACTACTCCAAGTGTAACAGGGTGGTCCCCAGGAAAGGGGGAGGTTCCAGGTTCCCTGCCCCACCCAAGGGAGGGTGGAGCTGAGCAGGGAGAGAAGAAGCTGCAGAGGAGACTGAGGAAGGAAGCAGGATGGAGCCAGAAGGAGACCTGGAGGAGGCGCATGGAGCCGAGAGACACGCGAAGAAACTGTGCTTGTCTTTTGGTCATGGACTGGGTGACACAGATGTGGGTGAGACCCGTGGGGAGGTGACAATGGCAGTTTTTGTCTTGATGTTGATTTTGCTCTTTTCCTTCCGGATTTGTCTGGTTGTTTCTGACCCTTTTCTGTGGGTCCCCACTGGAAGATGCTTTGGACTTGTGGCAGGCTTTGGGGCCTTGCTCTGGGCCGATCCCATATGGATGGACTTTTACCCACGAGGGGACGGGTAACTTTGGGTGCTTCATTTAGAAAACTAGATTCTTTGCCTTTCCTGTATTGTTTCCTAGTTTTATTAAAGTTCCTTCCCATTAAAGTCTCATATGTTTTGTGTTGATGCGACAGGTGGCAGAACCCTATATAGAATAGGCAGGTTTGCCAGGTTTGGGCTGCCCCTCTCCCTGCCCTGTAACACAAGTACCTCACATGAAGTGTCATTCAGTATTTGCCTTTCATGACTGACTTATTTCATTTAGCATAGCATCCTCAAGGCCACCCACATCCTCAGAAAATCTCGATTTTCTGAGTCACATTCCAATGTTTGTATGTGTGTGTGTGTATATATATATATATTGCTTATCTATTCCTTTCTGGATAGACACCTAGATTGCATCTTACCTTTTGGCTATTATTAATAATGCTGCCCATGCACATGGTGTACACTGAAACTTAAAGATTCAATTCTTTGAGATACAAACCCAGAAGTGGAATCACTGGATTATATGGTAATTCTATTTTTTTAACTGTTAAATTTTCCATAGCAGTTGTACAACTTCTATTCCCACCAGCATTACACGTGTACCAATTCTCCACACCTTTGGCAACATTTATTATTTTGTTTTTATTTTTCACAGCAGCCATCCTAAGGTTTTGCCCATGGTCAATATTGTCAAGTCAGCTACAAACTGGAGTATATTCTGAAAAACAGTATGTGAGGATGCAACCAGGAAAGCAGAAAATATTGAAAGAAATGTAATGGGGGTAACTGGGTAAACAGGTAACAGAAAGGCTAAGAAGCTGAACAGAGCCTAAAACAGCAGGAAACCAGTAACATCTACCACTACCTACGGCAGAGCACAAGCGTGTTACCAGCCCACCGGCTGTAGCTGTGTAGGGAAACCTCTGTCAAGGCTGTGAAGGGAATCGTTTTGCTTCTTCGTTCACGCACAGGAGAACTGGGGTGCAGGCCAGAGGTGCAAAGGGAACAAAGGGAATTGCAATGCAGCCCAAAGAAGCTGAGACCAAGGGAAACACCAAGTCCCCCAGCAGCCCGGCTCCACCTCCCCAGCCGGATGGCAAGTGACGGAAAACTCAGCCTTCGGAGGCCGGCGAGGCTTCCCGCCCCCCGCGGAAGCTCGGCAGCCGGGGAACGAGCCGGGGCGGACACGCCACAGACCTGCGCGAGGGGCCCGCGGTCGGCCCCTGTCGTGCCCGGCGAGGGCCCGCGGCGGCGCCTGCTCGGCCCAGCGCGGGTGCTGGCCGGTCCCGGCGTCTGGGACCTCGGGAGAGGGGCCTCCGCCGCCCGCTAGCCGCGGAGCCTCCACGCCAGGCCGCCGGGCCCCCGGGTCTGCACCTGCGCAACGGGCGTTTATGGGCCCAGCCACGCGGGGAACAGGGCAGCGGCCTCGACGCCGCCGCCCAGCCCGGGCGCGGTCACCGCCGGCGCCCCGGCCCGTCCTCCGGCCGCCAGCGCGCGCGGGGTCGGCACGCGGGCCGGGGCGGGCAGGAGCCCGGGGACACCCGGGCCGCCCCCCGCGGCCGCCGCCGGCGGAGACACCCCACGAAGCTCCGACCAGGGAGGGCGCAGGGCGCCCCGGGAGCGGGGGCGGCGGGGGCAGGGGACAGCCTCGGGCCAGGGACGCCGCGGGGGCGCCGGCCGGCCCCGCGAAGCCGCGCCCCGGGAACAGGCGCTGGCCCCAAAAGCGGCCTCCGCGGACGGCAGCGACTCCGGGGCTCGGCAGCGCGGGGCGCGCAGCCCCGAAGGCCCGAGAGGGGGACCGGGCGCCCGCCCACGCCCCGCCCACAGCGGCTCTGCAGAGCCCCCGCGCGACCCGGCTAGCCCTCGACCGGCGTCAGCTCCGCGCGGGCCGCGACGGGGGAGGCGCGCCCCGGCCTCCCGGGTCCCCACGTAGCCCGGCGCGCCGCCCCGCCCCTTCCGCCGCGAAGACCCCGCCCCTTCCGCCACGGCCCCCGCGGGCAGCCCGGAAGGGGCGAGACCGCGCGCGACATGGCGGGCCTGCACCGGCAGCTGCAGGAGTACTTGGCGCGGGGCGGCGCGGGCGGAGCGGCCGCCGTGGAGCCGCTGCTGGCGGCCGGGCGTCCGGAGGCGCCCGCGGCGGGCCGCGGGCCGGGCTGGCTGGGCCGGGCGGGCGCGGCCTGGCCGTGGGCGCGGGGCCCCGCGGGGCCGGCGGCGGGCCCGGCGTGCGGGGCCGGAGTGCCGCGCGCGCAGCGGCTGGCGTGGGCCGGCGCGTGCCTGCTGCTGGCCGCGCTGTGCTTCGGACTGGCCGCCCTGCAGGCGCCGGCGCTCGTGCTGCGCGCGCGCAAGTTCGCGCTGCTCTGGTCGCTGGGGTCGGCGCTGGCGCTGGCGGGCGGTGCGCTGCTGGGGGGTGGGGCGGCGTGCGCGCGCCTGCTGCGCGGCGAGGCGGCGCCGTCAGGGCCCGCACTGCTGTACGTGCTCGCGCTGGGCGCCACGCTGTACGCCGCGCTGGGCCTGCGTAGCGCGTGGCTCGCGGCACTCGGTGCATGCGCGCAGGTGGCGGCGCTGTTGGCGGCTCTGCTGGGGCTGCTGCCCTGGGGCGCGGGCGCCGCGCTGCGCTGGGCGCTCGGGCACTGGAAGCCGCGCGCCGGCCTGGCCCCGGCGCTGCCCGTGTGACGCCCGCCGCCCCCGCCGCAGCCAGGCCGGAAGCCGGCGGCGGGCGCCCCCCGGCTCTCGCGAGCCCGCCGCGAGACCTGCGCGCCCTCGGCCGCCACGACGCCCAGCCCGGCCCCGACACCGCGTCTGCAGCGCCCGGCTCGACGGAGGCCCTGTGGGAGGACACCGCCCGCGCCCGGCCTGCAGGCGCCGCCGGCCGAAGACGGCGCGTCTCGTGAGCGTCCAGGCGAAGCTGCCCGGGATCGCCGGACTCCGCGCCGGGCTCCAGGCCACCGCGCAGCAGGGCCTCGGGCGGCCGCGGGGAGCCCACCAGCTGCTCCCGTGGCCGGCCCCGGCTGCGAGCCACGGTTCTGTGGGTGCACAACCTGGGAACGGTTGTTTTCTGGGGCTCGTTCCGGTGTCGCCTGAGCGGGTGTGTCGGGCAGGACGTTCCTGCTTGTCCAGGCTCAGGGTGTATGTCCCCGGCCCCTGCTCCGTGTCCTGCATCCCACCTCAAAAAGTGACCCCAATACCCACATTCCGCCCCCCCCCCCGAGGGTAGCACCGCTCATCCTCAGAACTCCAAGACAGCCCTGTTCTTCGCTCCGTGCTAAACAAGGTCACCTACCTCGTGGGAACCACCCAGAGAGTATTCAGGAAAGAACAAATGCACTTTTTCAGTGAGTGATTTTTTTTTTTTTTTTTAAAAAAACTGGCAATCTTCGTGCCGTTGGCCGCTTTCTAGTTGCCTGGTAAAACTTGTGTTCTAATTCTAAATTCCTCTAGAATTTACAATACTTAGTATGTTTTTTGTTGATGCTGTTGTGTTTTTAACAATCTCCCCAACATTTTGTTAAGAATTCAAAGTTTGAAAATACAGCTTTTATAAAATTCAAAGCACAGTATCTTGTATTTTGACAATGTTTTAAAATGCCTCTGCCACGTACCTACTAAATACATAGAGAAGATTTGAGTTTTCCCTAAATCATTCTCAAAATGTCATCTGGTTGTCTGATTACAGAGATGTATTTCTTGTGTGTTTAAATTTACAGCCTAAAATGTCAATGTCAAGATGGCAAGTTCTTACATCTTGGGGAAAAGAGCCTTGTCTCACTATGGGATTAGCCTCTGGATTTGATGACAACTTCCCTCTTTTTAAGCCAAACCAGTGGAGAGCAAATAAAAAGTATCCACAAACCTCAGTCTTGAGCCTCCTAGTCCTGTATTTACAGTGAGGTGCTAATAAGCAGGACATAAATTTCAGAGTAAGTGGGAATTATTCGCTTATAGTCTCTAGATCCTGATAACCACAAAAAGCTGTGTGTGGTGCACATTTTCTCACTGCAGATGGAGCTTAGCTTTCACCATTTTTTACACTAGTAGAGAATCAATTAGTTTTTCAATACACTGTCCAACTATGCCCAGGTTATTTTTCTAAGCAATTACTGAGATTTCTAGCACTACTAAACTTTGTCTCAAATGCCAAACTGAAGCTGGCGCCATAATGAGAATGCTAAGGCAGCTTCAGGCCTGTTCTTTCAATAATAAAAGCTTTTTTCTTATAAAAAGTATCATGGGGTATTCTCAAACTGAACTTTTGGCTGCCAGCCAAAACTGGGTCAAATACAACATTTAAAACTAAAGGAAGCTTGTGGAAAAGAACTTCCTGGCTCTAGGTTAGCTAGTATGGCAGGGAAGAAAGTTACATTTTGCAAATTGTTTTAAGACATATTTTGGTCCCTTTTCCATTTAGACATCCTGTGAAATGATTTACCGTAATTAAGAGAGTACATGTTTCATTCCTGTCTTTCATCAAAAAGAAGGCAGTTGACTTGTGCCGTGTGATTGCTGGCAGATGTATAGTCGGGAGAATTCCCTACTTTGACGGGAAATTTAAGTTTCTTCAGTTTAACTTCTGCCAGAGCATGTCTGAAGCTTTGGATCTACTTCAAACTAGGTTAAAGTTTTAAAGTACTTACCACTTTTACCAAGGTAAGTGTGGCAGAATGGCTAGGTGAGAATTTGCTTAAAAAGAAAAGTTAACATGAAATATAGACAACTTAGTGGTTCCCATCAGATCTGCTCATGAGTATCAGCCTTCACTGCACACCCCTCAGCAGACTAGATGCAATGGAAACAGCGTTTCCTTACGGCAAGCACTTCACAAGTAGTTTTCTGTTAATCCTTGCGTAAATCACATTCTGTATTCATACAAAAACAACTTAATGTTTTTTCTTTGACAAACTGTACATATAGAAACAAATTTCCAATAGGACATGAACTTAAATTTGTGGAGGGGCTCCATGTCTTGTGACACTTAAAAAAAAAATTCCAGCTTTTATCTTCACAAAACAGTGGGAGTGAGGGCAGTGAGGGCAGACAGGACAAAACAAGGCCCGCTACTCGGTGCAGCTGGCAGCAGTCTCTTCTCGAAGATCTCGTTAATGGCTCCGGGGGGTCATCAGCCCCGCAAGAGAGCTCAGGGCTACATGGTGCAGGCTTCCTTTTGTTTCTCTTAGTAAGTCCACAAGAAGTTCTTAAATACTGTCCAGAGAGGCATGGGGCTACTCAGCCCCCACTTCTACCGACCTCTCCCGCCACCCCTCGAAGCTCCTCGCCTGGGTGGGCCAGAGTTCATGCTACTCCCTCTACCCCAGTTACTGCCACTCCGGCCCCCTCTCGAGGGAGTCCCACTGCCAGGAGGGCCCCCAAAAGGTTCATCTCTGTGATAGCCATCATGGTGATCTCCATCCAAGGAGCTGGATCGCCCGGACTTTGGCACTCTCTGGGAAGGTCCTGGGCCCCCTCGGCCTGAAATGAAACATTGATTTCACTTGTGACTTTAAATCAGAAATTGTTCAAATCAGTAACTCCTGGTACAAACTTTCACTGTATGATGAGGGTGGAACACTTGTGTGACTTTGTTTAAAAGAGAATCTGAGGACATGAGTAGAGCGTTCGGAACAGCCCACCCTCCTGACCACTGCACCTCACTGCCATCCTGGCTCCTGGCCCTGCCCTCAGCTTCAACCTGACAAGATTCCCCAAGCAGTGACCAAGATGAGAAGAGACCAAGAGAAACATGGAGCATGTTCTGGGAGTCAAGGACCACACCAGGCCATGTCGCCAGTCTATGGAAATTATTGTCTCCCTCTTCTGTGCTACTAGTGGTACTCTGAGGAGAGGCCTGAAAACTCAACTTAATTTTGGAAGCCACAAAGACACCCAAACTGTTGATGTTAATTACAGGTACACTAACCAGGATAAGTGTTTACTATGGTTATCCCATGATTACGTGACACCTTTGGTCATCTTTTAAACAGTGAAGTCAAATATTTGAAAAAACAATGGCTTTTAGATTTCTCCCAAGATTAAATGCTCCAGACTTGAACACAAACTTTTAAGTGTTATTAAATTCTGACTTCTAATTTTTTTCTCATCAGATGATAGATTTGGCCACATCTACCATAATGCACCATTGCCAACTTTATTAAATTTTTGAATGGAATTTGAATTCACTTAAGGTGAAGAAGAAAGCTAGCCACAGGAATAATTGTTTTTTTTTCTCCTTATAAAGTGCAGCACAGGCCCATGGGGAAGTTCTTTAGGCAAGAGAATTTGTCAGCTAGGATGTCGTTTTCTATACTAGCCTGTCTTTGGCTGGACAACTAGAAAGGTGTCCTTGAAAGTCCAAGACAATGACCACACCAACCAGCAACGGAAAAGATGTGCCTGGGCGGAGAGATCTGACACAGGAGGTAATTTCTGAGAGTTTTGTCTGGAGAAGAGCCAAATAAACTGTCAAAAACACAAAGCAGAACTTAGTCATGGAGGACTGTAAACACGAGGCAGATTGACAAGAGTGGAGCACAAGCCGGGCCCATGAGCAATTTTCCCAGCAGCCTGCCTACCAGAGCACATATGCAACTGCCCGGTCTAACATAGGCCCAGAACTGCAGCAGTAGTAGGTGGCCCTGCTCCTGGCTAACAGTGCTGCCTCTAAAATAAAGATCCCAAGTTTCATGTAATAGAAATTACTGCAAGGGGCTTAAAATAACTTCTTCAGATCACATTACCCAAAGTGAGCACAAGCAGTCTTCCTTCCAGGCTTACAATAAAAAAAAAAACCAGTCCTGAAAGAGAATGATTCCCCCCCTGAGGATAGCCTGAGGGGGCAGAGTGGGCCACAAGTGGGGAGCACACTTGCCAATCAGAGCAGAAGTTCCTCAGAAAAGAAGAGCAGAGTGCAGAGGCAGCCTGTCAGCACAGTGGAAAACTTGAACGAACCAGGAGATTCTGGAAGCAACTGCAGGAGACCGGTGTGGAGGCTGAGCTTGCAGTCACCAAGCGGGCGCTCCCACGGGCTGTAGTGCGGGCCTCAGGTATAATCACTGAACTCCACCTACCTTTGCCTCGTTCCTCAGAAGGCACCCCTGGGGCGTCCATTTCTCTGTGCTCTGAGGTCCCTGGCCCGTCATGCCAGGGACGCTTGCGAGGTGGCAGGGACGCCATGTCCATGCCTTGGAGAGAAGAGGACCGTTCTCTGCTAGCTGGGGAATGGCCGTCGTGAGGGGGGTGATCGGGGCGGGGAGCATCGCGGAAGTGTTCATGGCCCGGCCCTGAAATGTGAAGCAGCATCATAAGACTAAGAGCCTGGCAATCTCATTACATCACAGTGTGCCCAAAGCAGACAGAAACTACTGTCAGGACCAGGATCAACTTGAAAACCAACATTCATTTCGTGCAGGAAACACTCCCTGAATCCCCACTGTAGGCGAGGCAGAAGTTACACTGTAAAAAGGTGAAGATTAGAAATCAACATCCCTTCCTCCTAGAGCAAGAGACAGGAAAGGTGGCTCTCAGACCTTTTAGTCTCAAGATGTGTCTTTTCTTAAAAATCACTGAAGACCCCAAACAGATTTTACAAGAATTATATCTAGTAATATTTGTCATGTTATCAATTAAGACTAAACCATCAAATGATACTTAAAAAAAAAAATTTAGTAAAAACAGTACTTTTTTTTTTAAGATTTATTTTTATTGGCCTCCCCGGTGGTGCAGCGGGTTGAGCGGAGCGCTGTGAAACTGTCCGCAGCCTCCATAGCGCAGGTTCGATTCCTAGCTGGCCAGGGAGATGCCCACATGACATGGCAGACCTCTCCTGCCCCGCCTGCTGCTCCCCTCAGCAGTGTCTTCGGTCCATCTGCCTGTTCTGTTCCCTGCTCTGTCTCTGGGGAATCCTCTCACCCTCCCGCACCTCCAGTCTGTACCCCAGTGCTTGTATAAATAAATAAATCTTAAAAAAAAATTATAAAAAAAGATTTATTTTTGGGTCTCCCCTGGTGGCGCAGCGGTTGAGCACTGGGCTGCAAAGCTGCCCACAGCCTCTGCAGCACCGGTTCGATTCCCGGCCACCGTCCAGGGTCCCACATGGCGCGCAGACCTCTCCTGCCGTGCCCACTGCTACCCTCAGCAGTATACTTGGATCTTTCTGCCTGCTCTGCTCCCCGCTCTGGCTCTGGTGAATTCTCTCACCCTCACGTGCTTCTGACTGTACCCAGTGCTTGTATAAATAAATAAATAAATCTTAAAAAAAATTTTATTTTTATTTATTTATGCATATAAGAAACTGGGGTGTAGGGCCTATCTGGTGGCGCAAGGGGTTAAGACACAACCCATGAAGCTGTCCGCAGCCTCTGCAGCACGAGTTCAATCCCCGGCTGGCCAAGGAGCAACCCACAGGGAGCAGCAGACCTCTCCTGGCTTGTCTGCTGCTCCCCTCAGCAGTGTATTTCAGTAGATCTACCTGTTCTGCTCCCCATTCTGTCTCTGGTGAATCCTTTCACCCCCCACACCTCTGGCCTGTACCCCACTTCTTGTATGCATAAATAAATCTTAAAAAAAAAAACGACCTGGGGTGTAGGCCAGAGGTGCAGTAGGAGGGGGCTAGAGAATTCACCAGAGATAGTGGGGAACAGAACAGCTGATGTACCGAAATACACTGCTGAGGGAAGCAGAAGGTAAGACAGGAAAGGTCTGCTGTGCCCTGTGGGTTGTTCCCTGGCCGGGGATTGAACTCACGTTGCAGTGGCTGGCGATAGCTTGATAGGGCTGAGAATTAAGCCCCTGCGCCACCCGGGGGGCTCTTGTTATATATATCTGTATCTATATATTCAATGCAGGAGATTCTGCACTGAACCTACTGTGATGAAATGCTACTGAGAGATGTAGCGACAATGCAGCCTCCCGTGTAGAGTAATTTGTGAGCAAGAAGACCTGGTGGACCCTGGGAAAGTCTCAGGCTTCCAGGAGTCCTCACCACGCTCTGTACTGCTGGTCTCCAGATATCCATAAGCCACAGGCAGTGCTCCTTCCTTACCTGGCTCTCTACTTCCATCCCAAGAGTCTGGTTTCCGTCCTCCTTCAAATCGAGGGAACTCATCAGGAGTGGGAAGTAAACCCTTCCGTCCTCCTAGGCGATGGAACAGACGACACCACGCTCACAGACTATTTCAGGAATGTCCACAACCTGCCTCTGTACCCCCATCCTTCCAGCCCTGGTGTCTTCTGGACATGCTCACCTCGGGGGGTACCCCGACCTCGACCTCTGAGATCCCTTCCTCGGGCAGCTTCATCAGAAGCATCAAAATTCTCGTCTGGACCAAAGTCGTCAGGGACGGGAAAACCATCCCTTCCTCTGGGGGGAACACGGCCCTCATGTCTTGGGGGGGCTCCTCTTCTAAAGCTGTCAGGAAAAAAGCAGCAAAACATTTACCGAAGGGAATACCTGGAAGCTCTTAAGTTCACGGTTCAAAGAAGCATAATGATATGAGAAAATAGGATACAGTGTTAAATGGAAGAAAAAATTATACATTTTTTAAATTACACATTTCACAGTCCCAACATTACAGGCAAAACCAGACAGGCAGGAAACATACCAGAATGTAGGGTTATTTTAATTTTCTTTTAGGCTTTTAGGAATAGTAATAGCAAGCATTTTTAAGTGCTATATCATGCCAAGAGCTTTACATGTATTGTTTCATTTCAGTTCACCTTCACAACCGCCAGATGAAGCTAGTACTTTTATTAGCTCCACCCTGCCCACGCGAACACCCAGCACAAACAGATTACGGCACAGGTGAGTGTTGGGATTTGAACTCAGCCAGGCTTCACCCCAGCCCAGGCTCTTTATCACTGCTTCCCTAGTATTTTTCATTATCATTTACATTTTCACAGTGAATATTACTTATGTAATCATGAAAGAAGCAGGTTTAGACGCACGCCTGCCAGTGACTTCGTTGAGAGCATGTGTCCTCTCCAGTCTGCTGGTTCAGTCTACTCAGAGCCAGCAGGGGTGGCCGTGAATCTCACCAATGGTCCTGTTACAAAGCTAACAGGTATACAAGTAGACACCTGGCTTACGGACGGTCCACCCACTGGCTAGCTGGCAGCCTAGAGCCCTGCCTGGTGGATAATTTCACTCTCAGGAATCCTGGGTCTAAGAAACTAAGTTGGTAGAGGTATTACTGAAGCAGAACCATTATGAGGAAGCACAGCACAGCAGCAGACCCGGAGAGGAGGCAGAAAAGAGATCTCCAAGCAGGAAAGTTGCATAGGTATAGACCAAAAGCAGCCATGAAAACTGGAGAAAGGGACAAAGGAAGCAAGGTCACAGGGTCAGCCTGCATGAACCATCTGCTGTGGCTTCCTCTCAGCCTTCTGCTTTTTCTTGAGTCTCCACTCAGTTATCTTTTACACAGTATTTTATTTTGAAAAAGTTCAAACTAACAGTAAAGTTCAAAGAACGGAACTACAAAATGTCATACCTACTTCACCTAGATCTTGCCTGTCTCTCTATACACAAAAGTATTTTGTAAACCATTTCAAAATCAGCTGCCAACATTGACAACTGACTTCTGCATAGCAAGAGTGACTACAACGAAGAGACACCCTACTGAGTGGGAGAAAATATCTGCACACCATACATCTAATAAGGGATTGATAACAAAGGTCTTATACAACTCAAAAAGAAAACAACCTGGGCCTCCCTGGTGGCATAGGGGTTAAGTCTCATCACTGTCATCGCAATGGCATGAATTTGATCCCCAGCCAGGGAGCTACACACATGGCACAGCAGACCTCTCCTGTCTTGCCCGCTGCTCCCCTCAGCAGTGTATTTCAGTCAGTCTGCCTGTTCTGTTCCCCGATCTGTCTCTGGTGAATCCTCTCGCCCTCCCATACCTCTGGCCTGTACCCCAGTGCTTATATGCATAAATAAATAAAAAATAAATCTTAAAAAAAAAAAAAAAACCTAATCAAAAAATGGGTAGAAAGCAAGAAGACGTGGCATATATACACAATGGAATACTACTCAGTGATCAAAAAAGATAAACTTATGCCAGTTGCAGCAACATAGATGGAACTGGAAGGGACTATGCTAAGCAAAATAAATCAGAAGGAAAAAGATAAACGATGGATGGTTTCACGAATGTGCGGAATACTGAGAAGCCAAAGAAAAGGTAAGGAAAAAGACGAAACCTGCAAGCTGCCACAGATCTGAGGCCCACGGTGGGGGATGGGGGGTGGAGAAAGGGTCAAAACGGGAGGGAAGAGCACAAGGGACTGTGGTGATGGGTCACGGGTGCTGTGGAGTGGGAGAACTATGGGGACTACACCTGAGGGTAGAAATCAAATACTGTAGACAAATTAACAACAATGTAAGAAAATAAACATTAAAAAAAATTTAAATCATTTAAAAATAGGGCAGAAGAGCTAAACAGGCACTTCTCCCAAGAAGACACGCAGATGACCGACATATGAAAAAATGCTCATAGTTATTTATCAGAGAAATGCAAACCAAAACCACAAAATGCAAACCAAAACCACAACCAAAACCAAAACACCTCATACCTGTGAGAATGGCCCATATCAAAAAATCCACAAACAAGAAGTGCTGGAGAAAAAGGAACCCTATTATACTAATGGGAATGCAGACTGGCCAGCCCCATGGAGACAAGGAGGTTCTCCCAACGACAAAAAATGCATCTACCCTATGATCCAGTGATGCCGCTCCTAGGAATCTACTGAAAGGACACAAAATGCTCATTCAAAAGGAAACCTGCACTCCTATGTTTATAGCAGCACTATTTACAACCGCCAAGATATGGAAACAACCTAAATGCCCAAGACCAGAGACTGGGTCAAGAGGATGTGGTGCATACACAATGGAATACTATTCAGAGATCAAAAAAGATAAACTCATGCCATTTGTGGCAACATGGATGGAGCTGGAAGGGATCATGCTCAGTGAAATAAGCCAGAAGGAGAAAAATAAGAACCAGATGGTTTCATTTCTATCTGGCATCTAGATGAACCAAAGGACCAAAGGAGACACACAGTAAGGCTGACCCTGAAGCAGACACAGATCTGACACACTCGGGGAGGGTGGGGGGAAAGAGCAGAGAACTGAGGGGAAGAGCGTGCAGTGGAGGGTGGTGGAGGGCTGGGGGCGCTTTGGTGCTGGGAAACCATGGTGACCACACCTAAGGGGAGATATTCTATGTTGTAAAAAAATAAACAAGGATGCTTAAAAAAATTAAAAAATTAATGAAAAGCATTGATGCTTAATCCCTAATACTTTGGTGTGTTTCTTTTAAGAATAAGGACATTCTTCTACCTATTATTTAGTGTATGTAAATATACTAAATAACACGTAATACTTTATAGCCCAATTCAAATTTCTTCCATAGTCCTCAAAATGTCCTTCATAGTTGTTTCTCAATAGAGCTCTCGACCATGATCACGCACCGTTATACAGCGGTCGTGTCTCTGTGGTCTCAAGCTAGCACCATTCCCCTTCTGTATTTTATCTGTCTTAACCTTGACTTTTTGGAAGGGTCCATCCAGGTGTTTTCTAGAAAGTACCACATTTGATTTTATCTGAGTCTTTCCTCGTGATTAGATTCAGGTGCACAATTTTGGCAAGTGCTGCTTAGCTCTTAATGATGCCAATTTGTCTCACTGTGATGTACAGTGGGTGGAAACCCAATTTTACTATTCCAAAAGTACTTTTTCTCCTTTGCAATTAAGTACCCTATGGGGTGACATTTGGGCCCCCCACCCCATACCCAGTTCACCACAATCCCTTCCCCAATCATTAGCATTCACTAACTATCCTTGTCTGAACACTGATCACTTTATAAAAGGGCTGATTTTCTATCACTCTTACATTTATTACTTTTTGCTTTACTTTTCCATCCCACCACCCCAGCTATTAAGGTAAGGGAGGTTGGGGTGGTCAACAAGAGATGAGCGGGCACAAGGCACAATCTCCAAAGACAACAGGACTCCTTTTGACCAGGCATCTACCGTTCAACTTTTCTAGTAACAAAGGGACAGAAAGAATCTAAATTGCCTTAATCAGAAAATAGCTCCTATTATGGACTATATGTTTACGTGCCCCCACAAAATCCCTATGTTGAAGCCCTAAGTCCCAGTGTGAAGATCTCTGGAGATGGACAGCTGAGAAATAACTGGGGTTAGATGAAGTTCTAAGGGTGGGATCCTTGTGGCGTGACTATGCCCTTGTTGGAAAGAGACTAGTAAGAGCTTGCTCACTCTCTTGCACCTTCATTCGAGGACAACGGGGGGGGAGCCAGGAAGAGCATTCTCAGCACAAACTGACCCTGCTGGACTCTGCTGTGGGCCTTCCAGCTTCCAAAACTGAGAAAATGCATTTCTGCTATTTAAGCCACCCAGGCTCTGGTGCTTCGTTAAGGCAGCCTGAGCTGACTAGTGAGTGCACCACCGAATGCACTGAATCTGCTCAAGCAGGTGTCCCCATTTAACAGATTACTGAATGGTGACTGCGCAGCTGCAGTGTGTCACCACGACTGCTCTAGGTGCTGAGGACAGTGGTGAATAAACAAAGATTTTCCTAATTCTTATTTTTTTCACCATCTCATCTTTTTTACCCCAAGTAAGCTGAATGGTCAAGCCTGACTTCAACCTAATTTTAGTTTAACAGCAAGATTATTTTTAGTTTCATTTGATTTTGTTATGATCTTTAGGCAATTATGCAAAAACCACCTAATAATGCCTTTACACACAGCCTATAGATCTCACATTTCTCATTCTAATCAAGAAGAACAGAAGATTTCTAGTCAGATTCAAGACACTTCATAGCACAGTGGTTCTACTAGCTCCTCAGAAGAAAGACTTTAGTGGAGAGAACACGTAAAAGACGTCAGGAAAAATGAAATGGACCCAAAAAATATCCAGCCCACCTTTCTTCTCTGCGCCCCCGAAAACGCGGGTCCTCAGGGTCCCGGGGGAATCGTTCATCTCCAGGTCTTCGGCCCTCCCATGCTCCTGGAGGGCCCCGGGCTGCCCCCCGGCCATCCCCCTCACTGAATTCCCTGTGATCAGGAGGAAAGGGAGGCCCGGGACCCCCACGCCTCCACTTCTCTTCTTGTGGTAAAGGTCCTCCTCTCCCCTCAAATTCACGCAATCGGTGGCCAAAGCGCTTGTCAGGGTGGAAGTCATCTGGTCTGCTGAAGTCATCAGGGAAGTCGGGGTGAGGGCCGCGCCTATCCGGGGGCCCCCTGCAGTCCTGGCCACCCCGGAAAGGCCCCCTCTCGGGACCGTGCTCGGGGCCACCGCTCTGCTCATGTCGCCTCTCGGACATCGGACCCATGTGATGGTTTGGGGGGCCGCGGGCATCACCTAGAGGAAACAAAGCTGACTTTTATCTTCCAGGAACCCTGCCAACACAGCTCTGATTGGGAGCATCCTGAAGGCTCAGAAAGCACTCTTCGTTTAGAATGTCTACCCTCCTGGGTGCGCAAGCATGCTGAGAAGGCAGATGCCCCTGAAGCACCCTGTCCTGGATTTCAGCGTCATCATAGCCCCGCAGTCGAACCATCTGACCTGAGGCAAATTACTACCTCCTGGGAGATGCAGCTGCCCTGAGGACTGATTAGAAAACATTAGAAAGAGCTTCCCTTCCCCTGCCCCATCCTTCCAGAGGCTTCACTCTGCTTACCTGCTCCAGCAACCCCAGGGGGGGAAGGAAGAGAACTTGCACACTGCAGGTCAGGCAGTGGGAACTCGCCTCTACACTCGAAAGGTTTGCAAAACCCACCCAGGGTGTGGAGCTGCACTGACCATTATCTCAGATGTTGCTCCTTTAACCCCTAGGTCATTCAACGTAACCGCTAACACACACATTTGGATCCTTAACAAAATCCTCTGTAAATCCAAGGGTCTCTCTTATATCTGCACTGGCCACAGAACCCCTCTGTACTCACTTTCAGGCTTAACAGGAACACTTTTTTCCCTTGCCCCTTCCTATGACAAGCCCTCTCCTCAACTATGCTACCACCACTTTGCAGTGCCAGTACGAGTTTTTGGTTGTTTTTTCTTAATATCTGATATAGATAATATATTCAAAACCTGAATAAAGATGGAAAGAGGCCAATTAAATATGTGATGGTCAACTAAGCTCACCTAATTTTGAAGGGATTTGTTTTACTGGCCGCTGAGCTACTATAGTTATTGTAAATTAACACCTATCTTCTGTCAACATACAATTTAAATCAAACATTTTTAAAAAGAAGGTAGCAGAGAGACACATTGCTTAACTAAGTTTTTAAAAGAAATGCCTCCACTTGCCCAGCTCCCGCATTTCCCTGCATTTCCCTGGCAGCAGGATACGCTGTAGCAGGCACAGCCAGCCACGAATCTGATCCTTCCGTTGTTCTTCCCACTTCCATTTTTCGTCATCTCTCTTGGTCAGGTCAATCGTTCCTCACCACTCAACGTGCATAAAACCTTGGAGATCTCAGCATAAAAACAAAACACTAGGACTCTCTCTTGAGCTCTTTCTGTCCCTCTGCCTCCTCATATTTCCTTCAGCACACTAGTCCTCCCCACGCTGAGACAAGCACCTCCCAATAGCCACTGTTCAGCTTGCAAACACCCCAGGTCTGTTTCCTGCTGACAGACAAGCCCTCTTCCTTCTCAGTGTGTTCCGCAGCTAATGGCTTCTCTGACAGTGGTGCTGGAACTTCTATGATCTCAGACATGGCAGATCTTTGACCTGAGGAAGCTGAGCACATTCCACTTGGACTTACCTAGGAATATTAATCCTCCCATTACCTCTATCTGTTTAAAAGCATCCTGCGCCAAGAAACCCACCACTACAAATTAGAAGGGATGTGACCACCGGAGATGGGGCGGCGGTGCTGGTTAATCCAGTAGGGGATGGCAGGGCCACTTTCTCGGCTCGCCCTTCTCCCTTTGGTCCCCGGGAGGGAAATAGAGGAGGAAGAAGAGAGAAAGAGGGTGGGGGGGTGTAAAGAGAAGCGGGGCAGGCAGAGACAGACACAGGATAGGGAGAGGAAGAGGCAGGCTCTCGGTGTGTTGATTACTATACTTTGTGGATCAAAGTCTCTCCTTAAGATCCCCAGTTTCAAAGACTGAACCTTGATGGTTTCGTTCTCTTTTCCCTGTTGGCCATGACTTCCATGCAGTGGAACTAAAGTAAACACTCCCGTCGTTCCTTTCTCTATGCATCTCCTACCTCTAATAATTCGTATCGATTCAAAACCAAGCTTTAAATTCCCAATGTCCCAGGGCCAACAAGTGCTTCTCTTAAGCTGCTAGAGCGGGGGCAAGAAACCTGACATGTACCACAGGGTGCTGTAGGCTTAGCCAATTAAAAATGAAAAGAGAGGTGTGTGGGGTGTTCCGACTGTAACATCTCCATCCATCGCCTGCCATCACGCGCAGCCCTAGTCTCACTTCCCGTCCACCCGCCCGCCCGCCCATTTCACTCCTGCCCCAAGTCTGCATGTGGGTGTGTGAGAGTTGAACACTTCAGCATCAACAGAACAAGGATTCTGGCTACCTATGGACTACTGAGATCAACTCCTACCTTCCCAATAGCCTCAGCTCTAAACACTACCAATCCTCAACTCTGTGCTTCCGCAATACCGACAAGCCGAGGCACTGCTTCTCCTTTTAAATTATGCACAACAATGAAAGCAGCTGAAGAATTCAATAGATGACACAATTTAGAGGAACTATTTAAAAACACTTAAAATCTCTGAATTCTCTGTACCATCAACCATTTTTAACTGAAACAGTTCGGCCCTCTGGGATGCTAAAAGCACGCACTGCCTTCATGAGCACAGGGACCCCCCGCCTCTGTCCAACAGACAGACAAGGCCGATCCTGGCACCGGCCCTGCTGGCAGGAGTGGCCCCAGCAGCTTCACCATGACCTTCTGGTATCAAGGAGGGTATTTTTCTCTGGGTAGCCTTTTTGGCTAACTAAAGCAAGTCTATGAAAATAACATGAGAAAAAGCAATTACCTGAAATGACTGTGCTCCTATTTTTCCTAGTGTTTATTCTATCAATTACTGACCAGTAAAATTATTTCTTGTAAGACTTATACAAAGGTGGAAGAATACAACCTCTTATTCAGCCGAGCAGATATTTACCTTTGTTAGGGCCAGGTCCTGGTCCAGGATTAAGAGGGGGGATGCGACCTTGTGCTCCCTGCTGCCCTAGGCCTGGTATCAAGGGTGGGGGGCCTGCGTTCTGTCCTTCCTGAAAAGATGTTTTTAAAACAGGGGTGTGAAATTATAGGTTTGTGCTTCATGAATAGCAAATTTATTATCATGTGAGAAGATAAAAATAAAAACACTAGATTGCTCCAAAGCCTGCAGCATAAATAGATAGCTAGTGACATCATAGCAAGACTGGCCTTAAATGGTGGGAGAGGATATACTTCTTACCATAATTAGAGAAAAAACTTAAATGTTAAGCCTACTGCTAGGTTTTAGTTAAAGCCCACAGCTAAGTTTTAGTTAAAGCTAGATCTTTACTGGTATGCCAAAGAAGCGCCTCAATGGAAAAGCAACAGCCATAACACAGTGACAACACTCTGCACAGAGGAGGAGCTTCTGGCAAAACTAAAGACCTGGAAATGTGCCAGGATAGGTTAGCTCTGTTCTGATATCCACAACTCCTTCCAGTTACAGGAAATAATCAGTCCTTTCAAGAGGTCAGGGCTGGGTTTGAAAAGAACTGCCCCTGTCCTCAGCACCTTCCTGTTCATTCCCAGTAGAGTCAGCTGGGAACTTGCTGAAGGTTCTTACAGCTACTGTCTGACACAGACCTTTTGGTTCAATCAATCCTCTTAATCTCCTTACTGCCCAACCCCCTCCTACCACAGCCTTCGAATTCTGTATTTTTATCTAGTGTATCTAAATTCTGATTTCCCCCCCACTGTACAGTGACTACAGATCGGGTCACTTGACAAAGAAATGTATATCCAGATTTAGTACCTCTATCTACTGCAAATATAGCTCAATTTCAAAAACATCCATAGCAAAACAACTTTCATCACATTCTAAACCAGCAACAGTAAAGAGCAGTCTTGATAGCGGACGTAAAACTGTAGGCCTATGTGGCCATCACCAAATCAAGGCCAGCAACATCTACAATCCTTTGTTGTCTGTCGTTTTACCAAGGAACCCTCTTACCAACCTATTTCATGGTTGCCTGAAGGTAGTGACAGTTAATTAAGCTGATCAAAATAGGTTTTAGGGGCCTCCCTGGTGGCGCAAGGGATTGAGACACAACCTATGAAGCTATCCACAGCCACTGCAGCACGAGTTTGACCCCCGGCCAGGGAGCTACCCACATGGTGCAGCAGACCTCTCCTGTCTCACCCGCTGCTCCCCTCAGCAGTGTGTTTCAGTCAGTCTGCCTGTTCTGTTCCCCACTCTGTCTCTGATGGATCCTCTCATTCCCTGCACCTCTGGCCTGTACCCCAGTTCTTGTATGCATAAATAAATAAATCTTAAAAAAAAAAAAACGGGTTTTAAAAAATTGGTCTATTCAAAGTGCAAGAAGAAAGCCAGAGTTCAGTACATAAGAAATATAAGCAAAAACTTTCATCTGGAAACCTTTGACATTTGAAATGCCCTAAAATATACTACACCTTTACCCTCATTTTACTAATATTTCCATCTTTACAGTCATTATGTTTCCCATGTACAAAATCTTTTACTACATGATACAATAAAAATTCCTATAGAATTGTCCCATGAATCTGACATGTTTATCATTTCCTATGTGTTAACTAAAGTTCACTGTTTTTCTCTCCCAAATGAAAAGTGCTAATTCACTACCATAAAGTTAGGTAAATAAATATTATAAAAACACAAATAAACAAAATACATAACATTTTAAGTTTTAGGGCAATTTAGGACCGTAAACCTAGATTGAGTTTACTCATTCTGAAAAATTCCAATAAAATCTGAAAATTTACTCAAGTACCCTCAAACATGTTCAAGTTCTGGAAAATCTAGTGAAGAATAATATATGCCTACCCATTCAGCTAGTTATTTTAAATCAGTAATCCAAAAATCATTTTCACATTACAGATCCTCAGAGTTGTTTGAAAAAACAAAACTGATGATGTTCTATATACACAGTACCTACAGCATGCCCTCTGCCAAGTGACTCAAGCGTCTTGCAGTGAAGACCCAGGGAGTCAATAGCACACTTAATTCACTTACTTTTAGCCATGACAAGACCTTGGGGACATAAGCCCAGTAATTCACACCCAAATATAGCTTCAAGACTACAAAATTTTCAGAAAAACATAAAAACAACAGGGCCTAACAGGAACTGAATCTATTCATACTCATATGGACTTTCTGTAATTTACTCCAAACAACCTAAAAACTCACGTTGCCTCTCCAGCACAAGCTCAGAGGATGGGTGAGAAAACTAGAAAAATAAAAACACAGTTCCTGGAAAAAGGGCCAAGAAAATTTCTGTAGAAACATTCCCCACATAAGGGTCATGATTTGAGAATGCTCAATTATGGATTCAGAGATGCTTAAAAGTACTCACTGAAAAGCAAATAGTGAGATCACAGTATATAGTATACTTGTGAGTTAAATACCCACCTTATCCTAACAAAAAAAAAAGTGATAACTGCAAGAAACTCAGAGGTGGTTCAGTTGCTGGCAGGCCCATGAAAAGTGAGACTACCAAGTAAAGGACTCAGAAAAGGTAGTGTGATAGACTCAAGGTCATCTTGCTTTCTCCTCAGGACCACAGCTTTCTTAGAGTTCTGGGACAATCACAACCTGTATTCAATTGAGTTTTGATCTTTTCTGGAAATGCCTCTACTAAAAACATAGGTTGAAAACCAAAAACTCACGTCATAAGATCTATTTAATTATCCTTATTTCCTTCTTCAAGATGAAATAAAGGCTTTTCTCAAGCCCTAATTATTTGAAAGACAACTGTAATGTCTGTGACTCCTTATCAGAGCATCCAGAAGTGCCACCTCAGTGCAGAGTGTATTTTCCCAAAGTGTAATGCCTACAAGTTGGAAATAGACAATACCTGATTGAAGGGGGCACGGGGCCCATCACCTAGCAGAGCTGTTTTCTGTTGCTGGAATGGTATT